ATGTGGGACAGATCTGTGACAGCACAGAGGTCTGGGTGTCATAAAGGTTATGAAAATTTGTCAGCACCTCTTTGAAGCCAACCCCCAAAAATCTCTGGTCGCTGCAGTATCCTTTCATGAGTCTAATATAACCAAAGCCTGGGTCTACCTTGATGTTACCATTGCTTCACCTGATGCTCCATCCAGTTCCTTTTACTGCAGAATTTAAAGCTAATTATAATGGCTAAATCTGCATTTAGATATGGGCAGAAACAATGGTCAAATCAATCCTAATTATGCTTATAGGATGGTATCATCTGGATGCTCCTGGCTGAGGCAATTAGCCTACGCAAGAATGGGAACAGCGTTTGGGGGTCTCTCAACAACCCATGTGCTGAGTAGCCTGGCCAAAAAATAATTCGTTGACACTCCTCTTGGATGCAATTACCTTCTGCTGCCTATAAAGGCAAAACCTGATGAGCGTATTTACCACCTCATTACACTGCTCTGTGTAATTCAGCTGCGTTGTTTTGCCCATTAAGCAATATCAGAAAACATCTACTTTGCAGTAATAGGCTGGCTAAACGACATCCACAGGATTTCAGTAACAGTGCGGAAGGATGATAAAATCCTGAACAACCTCAGATCACGCACAAGTATTAAGGGACAAACACCACAGCCACTGCTAGACAGCTGAGAGTATTTGTAACTGCCCCCCAAAAGGCATTAGCATTGTAGGCTGTCAGGAAGATGAACTCCCCAGACCACTGCTTTTGTGATTAATGAAAATCTTATCCTATGGCTTTCCTGTCTTGGGGATTAAAAAAAGTGTTTTTTTAAGGCTTTCCTCGTTTCTAGATCAGGAAAAGAAGTCAAAATCTTGGAAGCTTGAAACTACAAGTCAAAAAGCTTGATGTCAGTGATACTTTGGCTTGTCAGTGATACTTTGGCTTGACGTTATATTGTATTTGCCAAAAATATTAGCTTAAATAATTAAAAAACACTTTGAACCATAAAAATAGTCTTTTTTTGCTAAAATGTCACCAGGTCTTTTAAAATTGAAACACCTAACAAGGCCAATGTTCTCCTGGGAACAACTTCAGTTTTGGCAGATCTGAATTTTTTAACTATTCATTTATTTAATAGGAATGAATTCTAAATGTGCATATTTTCTCTAAATCAATAATGACCTTCACTTAAGAATCACTCTCGTATCATTTATATGTAGCAACAGAACACCTACAGAACCTATTCAGGGGGCATTTCAGAATAAAATCTGTTTTCCCCTATTTGCAATATAAGCTTAGAGATATTTAACATACACAAACAGCGCAGACATTTTTCTCTATAATGTAATTGAATGTTTTGATCGGTCACAGTTTGTTCAAAGCTTATCAAGAATGAATTACATGCACCTCCTGAAAAAAACAGCAGCCACTATTCATATTCCTATCCAATTCACGTTCATATTACATTGACTAATTGGTCTCTACTAAAGAATTTTGGGGAACTGAGCTGGTTAGTTTGCATGATGTATACACACTGATACGTACATGTATATGTACCATCACCAGCATGCTGATTTCTGGGTTTGGTCAGGAGCTTTAAGCAAAATCATTGCCAATCTGAGTTTTTAAATTATTATTTCTATTTTTACTTTTTGTTTGTTTGTTTGTTTGTTTTTAAAATAAGACAGCTGCTACTTTTGTAGTCAGGGGTGCTAAGCTTCATTCTGGCTCAGGAGGTATTCTGAAGGAATATATGTTTCTTTGCAGCTCTTGGCTGACCTCTAAATATATTCTGGGACTGCAAGGCAAGTACACAACACTGCAGATGATATATTGTTATTTCAGGGCTATAGCAGCAAAGTTGTTTGGCATCTTAAGTTGCATAATTGTATTAAGACAGAGCTTCATTTACATTTAAACCACTTTTTTATGCTTTGGTTATTTATTGCAAACCTATAGTAACTGAAATATCAGCACTGTTGTGTTCCCGCTGAACTCTCTTCCAGACTCCTGCGGCCAGTTCTGGAAATGGAGTTCAGAGATTCTGGCTCCAGGTGCCATGGAGTTTTACATTTCTTCCAGGAAAATGTTTCTGGCCAGATATTTGCCAAAAACAAATTAAAATAAATAAAATAATAATAAGAAGAAAATTGTACAGAAGGCCAGAAATGGGCTCTGAAATGTCTGTATGATATGACGTAAATGAGCACAGCTCAGTTTTCCCCTTCTCTCAGACTGGCAAATAGTCACTCACCTTTTCAGATGCGTTGTGAAGATCAATTACTCAAGATTTTTATTTTATTTTATTTTATTTTATTTTATTTTATTTTATTTTATTTTAAGTCCTAAGAGGCCATAAGTGGTGTTAATGCCTATTCCCACAGCACCATCAAGCCGTAAATCTCTTCTAAGTCTCTCCTCAGCCATGGTCCAACAACAGACCCAAGTTCAAGGCTGGATTCCAGATGTTTCTGAATTCAGGAACTAGTCATCAGAGATTATTTTCATGTTAGAGCCTCTGTGCTAAAGCTTGCACCATACATAAGTTATTTTACAGACTTCATGCAAAGAGATGGTAAGCATCATTCCAGATATTTAAGATGAGACAAATCAGTGGAAATGAGCAAACAGATTGCCTATATTGGTCTCAGTAAATTGCTTGATTTCCCTTTTTTTTTTTTTTTTATGAGGTTATCTAATAAACATTTTTTTTTCTTAAATTGCCTGCTAAAGAGCCAATAATTTTGAGTTGTGTTTTGTTTTGCAATTATTTTTGTAACTTCAGTTGGTTGTTTTAAATGAAATACTTCATTTCCTTGCTTTAAAAACATTGTGTCATTTTGCATTATTTCCCCTATCCCCATATGGGGAAAGGGCTGTTGTTGAATACTTTGGATGGCAGGAGCCAAAGCAAAACACAAGTCTGGGATTTGGGGTTTTGTATGCTGTTTGGGGCTAATCTATACCATGATTACGAGGAATCTGCACAGGCTAAATCCTGGAGCTGTTCTTACTCAAAGCACCACAGCTGCCTGCACTGATGACTGCACCATCACAGCATTGATGATGGGACCAGCTTTGGGCTATAGCAGCACCTGATTACCAGCCAGCCCACTGTTTGAACCAGCCTCATAACAGCATGAAACTCAACAGCAGTTGTTATAAAACTTAAATGTAATTTCAGAGAAAATGCTGCCCATGATTGCTCATGGCATCATTCTTTCTGGTTTGACTCAGCTCATTTCCCAGGTGAAACAAATAACCTCTATTATCTTCCTGCTGCCCTTTACATCAGCCATGCATAGGGCCGCACTCTTACGGCCACATCTGTCAGTTATTTTCCCTCCTAAATAGCAAAAGCACAGCAGACAGCTCCCATTTTCCCTGCACGTGGGATCGATCCTCGCTGCAGCAGTGCTGCAGAAGTCTGCGGGCTCCGTGCCCTCAGTTATAACGCTCTGCATCATACCCCATGGGATGCAGCACAAGTCCTTGGGCTTCTTGAAGACCTGCCACTTGGAAACCTCCCAGCACAGAGCATGCAGGAGAGAAGCTGGAGCATGCTGCACTTGTACAAATTCCCCTTCTGCTAGCCAGTCCCTCCACCACCAGCAGATGATGGCAGTGTGGGGAGACCCAGCAGGGTGCTGGGGCCAGCCCCACCAGCTCTGTGGCAGTGCAGGTCCTTCTTCCCCTCCCAGCAAAGGGAGCTCCCTGGGACAAGCCCTGATGTTACTTTACCACAGATCAAGAAATAGAAATAAAAATTTTAAAATAGCCTATTTTCAGTAAAACCTTTGGACTTCTGTAGCAACTGCAGATGCTCCATGAAAGACAGTGCTTGGCAGCTTTCACCATTTCTAATGGGAGCTCTCGTCCTCTGGAGAACCAGCTTGATGACCCCAGATCTGTAATTGCTGCTCTCTGAAGCTCCCGTAGATAACCCGATGCATAAATCACCATAGCAATGTGAAGACCTGAAAAACACTGCTTTTTTCCCTGCCCTCTAACAGCTTTTCCAGCTTCTAAGCATGACAGTCAGAAAGGAAGAAGAGGAAAGCCAGGGCAGGATAGCAGAAGGAGTGTCTTTGGAGGGTTCTGGCCTCTCTCACTACTAAACTGTACAACACAGAGAGTTGTACTTGTGTATTTAACGTGTTAAATACTGCAGCTGGTGTGAGATCGAGAGAAGGTGCTAAGGACTGCCATGGTTTGCAGTTCTTTAAACTTATGCATTCCTTCATGAGAAAAATAGCAAGTTTATTTGACTAATGGAGAGAAGAGAGTTCAGGTCTTCCCTCCTGTAAGATTGAAGCAGGAATCGCTCCAGTGCTGCAGTGGGGGTTGTGCCACCCTGGCAGCAGCTGCAGACAAAGCAAGTATAAGAGTACTAACAGATCTGGCTGATCACTGCACGTGCATAAGTTTCTTATTCAGAAAATCCCTCTTAGAAGCATCGGAAAGCCCTTTCTCCACATCCTCATGGTGCTTGGTTGTTGCTCCAGCTTCTAGGAAACAGCATCTGTAAGCATCATGCTCTCTCTTATCCATTTCACTGAGCCCAAGGAGTTCAAATTCACATTGATTCACAGCTCCAAAATCCCTCCCATCAGGTACATAAATGTGGCATGCTCTGAAGTTTCAATCTGCTGTGATATTTGATTCAAGCTGCCACGGACTGATAAGGACCTCAACAGTTGAGCAAATGTTCATGCAGAACAAGCAATTCTGTTTTAAGTGATCATTTCCAGAATAATTCTGTGGTTTCTGAGTGACCAATAACATTAGAGGACGCCAGTGTTTTAAAGGTTGTTTGAGATGAATTGCCAGTTTCCTATACATAAACCCCCTCGATTAATTTTTAACCATCTTCCTTCCAGTTAGCTAGTTGCTAAATCACTTTTTACAAGTGTATTTCTGAAATAAGTGGTTAAATTAAGCATTCCCAGCTGCTTTGATGAAGATGGGGGAGAAAGGCAGAGGCAAAGCTGCCCTTTACCCATTGTTTATTTATTTTTTTTTGCCGTAAAGGCTTGTGTATGACACAGGAAGTATATATTCACCCTTTTGCTCAGTGTCTCAGACTTCACGTGGTCCAACTAATTTCTGATGTTAGCCCAGACTGACACCTTCCATGTAATTTGATGCACGGGGACAACTCAAGGAACGCAACCACAACAACCACAGGAATACAGACAACCTTTCCACATCAGGACATCGCTTTCTGGGCTGCAAAGCAGTTTGTGCAGCCAAGACAAGTGTGAAGCAGGTCCCGTATCGACAGACCAGATGACCAGCCCTGTCCTTGGAAAGCCACCCTGACTTCACTCCGGGAGCTTATTTCCTCTGCAGCCAGGCTGCGTGCCTCAGGTCTTTAAGCCAAACTAATTAATGCCCAACTGTGGCAGATCCCACTGCCTTCCTTGTGGGGTGATCTCACTCAGGCAAACCAGGAAGGCAGTGAAGCCAGGCATGTAGCTCCCTGGAGAAAAAGAAAGCCCTCGTTCCGTGCTCTTCCATGCTCTGGTACTGGTAATGTTCCTACATTGCAGGGCTCTTTGGTTGCACACAGGCTGAAGCTTGGGATACTTTGTTCAAATCCCTGCTTTTCCACAGACTTCTCACCTGATCCTTGATAAACCGCTTTGAAAGATGTCTAGGTACCATAACTGTGTTTATATAGATGATAGAGAAACATCAAAATAATTTGGGGCCATTATTAGGCTTCATTTGCAACTGTAGATACTGCTCTACAACCTATCAGTTCAGCGTGTCCATGGAAATGTGAGGGGCATGACAGGGACAACCACTGACCTCTGGAGGTCCTTTCCCACCACCATTTTTTAGCCTATCACCCTGTCATCTGGTCAATTCTCTCCAAATTCAGTCTCAGAAGGGAACTCATTTCAGCAGCTTGCGTGGTCATAAGAACCAAGATGTTCAGAAGACAGAAACAACGTGAGGACTTCCTCAAGTCTGATGCCTTCCCCCACACAGCTGCTTCTGTCTCACACAGCTCGAAAAGATTTCTGGTGAGAGACATCCTTCTCCTTCCTCACGGAAAACTGTGGCAATCTTTTAGTACAGACAGGGAATCAGCTCACCCCATCCTGCAGGGATATTACAACAGGCTGCCGCCCAAAGCAGCCTCTCCCACATTGACCCCATCACCACCTTCCCCCAGCTTTGCCCAGACTGTCAGCAAAGTTCTGAAACACTGTCTGAAATGACATGGTCAGGAGCAAGGAAGCCCTTCCCTAAGCATTGCAGGAGTGCTGAGAAAACCAGCATAAGTCAGGCAAGTCAGCACCACCCTCCTCATTCTGAAATATTCCTCCACCATGAAATAAGAGACAGGTTATGTGCTACCTGCTCCTGGGAAGTGATGGTCTAAGAGAGGAGGGAGCTCTGCCCACCCAACCTTTCACTGCAGCCTCTCATAAAGCACAGAAGGCTGGGCTTTCCCCATCATCAGTCTCAGCTCTTCAGCTTGCCTGCTCTGACCTTCAGGAGCCAGCATGTACCACCAGACCCCATCGGCTTTTGTCCATGAAAGCTCTTCAGCAGACTCTGTAAGGGATTTAAGGGAAAGAAGTCATCACATTCATTCTTTTGATTTGCATCAAGCTCTACTCAGCTTTATATTTCATCAAGGCTTCTCTTTATACCTGTTGCCCCAGTGACTATGTCACTTTAGGTGTTATGCTCCTACAACTGCCTTCCTATTTTCATTCAAGCTGTTCTGTCACCTTTCATACTTAACCTCTACACACTTCCATCTCTTCGCTTTAAATAAATCCACCTTGATGATCAGTTCAGCTTTCCTCCCCTCTCAATTTCTAGTCTATTAGACATCAACACTGAATGACCACCCTGAGAACATTTTTTTAATTTATTTTTATTTTTTTTTCTGGACACAGTGGCCTGTATCCCCACTGGAGTATGAGCAGCAATAAACCCAACATGAAATACATGATCTAACTAGAGATGTGCTGGCTGTCCATAGTTGTCTTTCTAGTCAATGCAGATGTCTGCGTTAAGGATCCTGTGTAGGAGTCACTGTTTTTCTCAGCTGACTGCAGGGGAAGGTAGCTGGCTCCTTGGTCCTATACTGGAAACGAATCCTGCTCAAGATGTCTGCAAGCACTCCCCAACTCTGTTGACACAACATCTATGGACTACATCTTGCAGTCTGCTACCACAAGAAATCACGTCTTTCTACCCCTTTGTTACAGCTCATTCATTTGCTCCAAAGCTCCCAGACACATGTATTCATGGCCTGTGCTGTTTACATTTCCCTATTCTAGTTAAAAAATAAATAAAAGAGGCAGTCAGGATAATATTTCTCCCAGTCAAGTAAGGAAAACATTCTCTGCTGTCAGACAGTGTTTAACAATATGCACACACACAAGTCTATGGCTATACTCTGGACACTTGAATTTACTGCAGTTCCTGTCTGTGCTCGGTGGAATTATAATTCAGACTACCAAAAGAGTAGATCGTATTTTTTGTCTTCCATCCAAGACTGATAGTCCAGACCTTACCTTTGCTCTGTGGAGACTACATCTTTCTTCACTTTTATTATGATAAGATATTTACTCTGCAGGAGAAATAATAGGTCAGAAAATGCAGAGGCTGTTCTGAATTACGATGATATTGTTATCACTAATTGCTCTTTGGTCACAGAAAACAACGCAGTGTGCTGGGTACCAGGCAGATATGAAATGAAAAAAGAGGCTTGATGCCCAAGACCTGTCCCAACAACTGTCACATCATGTAAACTATCACCCCCCATTAATTATCTTGTACCATGTTGCACATATGAGCTAGGCAAACCACAAGGCAGGATGTGCTCTCCTGTTAAATTATATCAGGTGGTGTTAATTAGGAAGCCCCAGTTCTGTTCTGTTTGTGCCACTAAATGACCAAGTCATCTGCAAGTTACCAAACACCCATCCGCTATGGGTGAACTCTTTGAGATCTCAGCCTGAAAGCCATTATGAAATTAGGCATTATTAATTCAGTGCAAGTCTCCAGAAAATCTGAAAAGAGCACTGTATTTGAGCAGAATCTGGTTCTGCTCATTGCTTTCTATCTTGCATTCGTTCCAGCAGTGCTTGCTCAGATAAGACTGAATCCCTCCTAACAGAAAGCCATGCCATGGAGGGCTCAGAGTAATGAGACCGCTGCCAAAGTGACAAGTAGGGGATGGAGTTTCAACGTCTGACAGCAGACGGGCTGACTGGCTTGGTGACTGAAGGTCTGGGGGGAAAGGGAAGGGAAAATAAGTTTCAGTCTAAGGAGCTGTCTGGATGGCTTCCTCGGATCAATCAAAAGGCCCAAGTTTGCACACAGATAGTTTTTATATATTTATGTGTACAAAAAAGTTTTCTAGCTTGCAGGATAAGGAGCCTCAGAAACTTTTACAGAGGCAGAGAACATTTAGTGGATGTTTAGAAACAAGATTCTTGGCATATTCCATTCACAGCACCTTGGAAATTGCCAAGAAGAGCATCCTGCACTGTGTGGCTGCTTTGCTGCCTCCTGTTCCTGGAAAACATGAATGTGAAATGAGAAAATCTTTCTGGGAAAACAGAACAATAATCAGATTCTTCTCAAATTCACATGAAAAAGACATCAAATTTAGGTCACTGAATCACTATTCCTGGCAAATAGCTTCCCAATAACTCACTGTTTGGATGCTTTGGTTCCAGTGACTCAGTAGCTAAGCTTTGGTACACAGCTGAGCTGCTGCCATCAGCAGAAGGGAGGAGGTACCTATGGGTCAAGGGATCTAGCATGACAGAGGATGTTTTTTTTCCACAGCTGCCAATCTGGATGGCAGCGGTGACCTCACGTCATCCCCCTTAAAGAAGCCATACACATTGGAAATACAAGTCCAGTACTATTACCGAGGTTTCAACTCTTGAAAATACTGCACAGCTAGGCCTGTGCTTTTATTGCAGCTGAAAAATGTACATAAATATAACACACATTTTCCCTTGTTCCTTCCTGACCAAGTGTACTTTGGCCCAGTGTACATCTGGCCTACGTCAGACGGAATTTATTGCCAGCAGTAAGTATAAGAAAACAGCACAGAGAAGTGCACGAGGTCAACCACTCATGGGTGGCCAGAGAAGCTAACCCAAACCTTCCAGTGGGAGCCATGGGTCTTGGTTTTGTCACTGTCATGCCGTCTGTGTGGGGCTGCATACATTTGTCACATGTAGCTCTGCGTGGCAGTGCCCACTGCCGTGTTCTGCAATGTGAGCCACACAGTTGCTGAAACAAATACAACACACGGCCCTGATTTTGTTTCCATGCCCTGCTCTGTAAACAGAAAATGGTGAGAGGCACTCAGCTTTTTATGAAAACAGAAAGAAGCCAAAATATGTTGGATGTGAAATTTTGTTAGTTACCTGGCATTGATACCCTCCTCATACAGCAGGAGCAGACAAGGAGAGGTGTCCTTGCTCTGCAGAGCAGGGACCTGACTCCAGCTGGGGGACATCTGCTAGATGTCCCTGCAGAGAGGCTGCGTGGCACAAGTTGCCCACACACCACCCCCAGCCCAGGCTTTTGCCACAGGACTGGCCTGTGCTGAGAGAAGGACACAGGACAACAGGGCTAAGGAGACCCATCCCTTGAGAGCCAGCTCCAAACTGAACAGTGGGACCTTTCAAAACAGTCCAGAGCAAACCGTGCCCAGGTCTTCTGCTTCCCTAGCTCTGAGGTCCTTGGGACATACTCCTGAGGCTCTCAGTGGTGGGAGGACATGTATATGTTGTTGCCCTACAGGCAGTAGGCATTAACATCACCCTTGTCTATCAGTTTCCTTGTGTCATCATGTTAGGTCTCCTGTGGTCTGCACACTTGACTCTTAGCAGGACAGAAGATACTCTCTGACTTCCTACCATGTAATGAGCAACAGCTCCTGCAGCCCTCGTGGTAGGGAGAGCAAAGCCTCAGTACTGCAGATGGGACTGAAACCTTTGCTAAGTGAAGGGGTCATCTTGCTTTGCCTGAGTTTGTAGGACTGGAAAAACCTCTCGACTCACCATTCCTTCTGCTTGGAAGATTTGCTGGGCAGCATCTTGCAAATGTTGCATTTCAGCACCAACCATTCATTTTTCTGGTTTCTGTTTGCTTGTTTTGTCTGTTCTGTTGCTGTTGTTATTTTAACTTCTGTTTTAAAAAATCTTAGAACACTGAAGATGAATAAGCTGATTTGGGAACACTGATGATACATGGCTATCTTGAGTCAAATGGAAAACAGTTGTGGTTTATGCCTCTTACTGAAATTTCCTGCCTGTTAAGAGAAGCATCAAACACATGACAAGTTTAAAACAATATAATTTGTGCCATACAATAATAGGCTAGAACAAATATTTGATTTAAATCTGCTTTTGGCAGAATTATTTCTATTTACAACAACAAAAACAAGTCATGCACATTTATTATTCACAGCCTCCACTACCTTCACTCTGCTCTCCATCCCTCCCACAGCTGAAAGTGATTTAAACTGCTATTGATTTTGATTAAGAAAAAGTTAATCCCTAGGAAATGTGCTTTAAATGCAGCCCACCTGTCAGCTTTCACTGGGCACTTACATGTGCTTGTTTAGGAAAATCCCAGGAACAGACTGGCTTCAAGGTTCATTTTTTCCCATTCCTATTTTGAGGACGATGGATGAGACAGGGCCAATTTATGCTTCCAGGATAGGTTTGAGCAACTTAGGTGTTGCTCTTTCATTTTGCCTTCAGTTGGTTCATCTAATTTATTATTATTTTTTAATCCTAAAAGCTTTCCAGTTAAATAAGTGAGATTTATCTAGGAACTATGGATGCCTGCAATGCAGACATTTACCTCTGTGCTAAGCATTACCTCCTCCTTTCAGTGAGTGCAGAGCAATATGTTCTTTCAGGGTTCTGGTCACCTCACCATAATGCAAATGCCTAAAATGAGACGGATGAGCCCTGCAGGTTCCTATTTCTTCCTATAGCCTAGAGAGAGCCTTTATCAAAGATAATTAGATCCAAATGGGATTTATCACAATATCTTCGCTCAATTTCAGCAGCCCAGATCCATTTTATAAACACATAGATACATTCTAATATATATTTCTAATACGGTTCATGAGATTTAATGCATTTCTGAAATGTAATGCATTTATTCATACTTAATTTTATTAGCAATCAGTAACACAATAGTATTTGATTGTATTACTAATACAATACTATACAATACTAATTTGATTGTATTAGTAATACAATCAAATACGATGCAATACATTTGGATTAACTACTTGAAAATCTTTTCTCCTGTCCTGCAGGAGGTTGGAGTGGTCATTAATGATTCTTCCCAGTCTCAAAATCTCTTCAATGAGATTTTGCAGCTCTCTCTTTGATGTATCTATCATTGATTCATTTCACCATCCCAGAAAAACTCAAGCTACCACGGTGCTTATTACCCTGGGCTGGATCAAATCAGCTCCTGTTGATATCAGCAAGGGGGAGATGACTCCTGTTCCGCTTGCAATGTGTGCTCTGATGTCTTACCTATCTAGAAAATGTTTATTCCAGTTTCACTTTGTAAATTAATAATTTACAGTTCTACTTTGTATTTACTTTGTAATTAGCTTTGGAAAGCTAATTAATTTACCAGAGTTGAGAAGAAACTAACCTGACAGTCAGATCTGTTTTGCTGCACAGACAACTTAATACACAAGTGTGAATTTGTTCCATTAATTGGTGTGCTGAGTAACTCACCTGACATCCCATTTGCAGAAAGGGATTTTCTTACGCAGGCACACAGAAGAGCCATCTGTTCACCTCTGCGTAGGATCTGAAAAGCTACTTGATAAACTGCATTAGATTATGGGTCTACTCAGCAGAGCCTTAACAAAATAAATACAACTGGTATTTTTATGCTAATATAATGCAATCCCACATTATAATAGGATGCTGCTTAAAATGCTGAGGCTCTTTCAACACTTGTGGTGTTTGTATATTCTTAGCTGCTCCTGCCCCTTGCTGCAGATTTTCTTATCCTTTCTTACAAGGATTTTGAGTTTTTTATGCTCTCCCTGTTGCCGCTAGGACTCACCAGCCCCTCAGCAGGGCCTTGGGTGTTTTTAGCTCTAAGGCTTTGTTCTGTGGAAGAGTTTGAAAAAGACCAGCCACGTCTGCTGATGGATGAGAGCTGTAACCTCAATAAAGACTTGGAAAGGCACATCTATGGTGGTTTTACCTTGCTGGGCAGCTGAACTCTACCACAGCCACTCTCTCACTCCCCCTCCAAAAACGAAAAGGGGAGAAAATATGATGGAAAGCGCTCAAGGGTTGAGATAAGCGCAGGGAGATCACTCAACAATTGTTGAGTCACAGGCAGAACCGGCTCAGCATTGGGAGATTAATGTAATTTATTGTCTATCACTAGTGGACTAGAACAGTGAGAAACTAAAAGCAAACTAAAAACACCTTCCCCACATCCACACTCTTCTATGTCACAGCCTGCTCCTGCATGGGCTCCTCTCCACGGGCTGCAGCTCCAGCCCGGGGCCTGCTCCTGCTGGGGCTCTCCATGGGCCGCAGCCTCCTCCAGGCCACATCCACCTGCTCCACCGGGGGCTCCTCCACCCATGGGGGGGCTGCAGCGTGGAGATCTGCTCCATGTGGGACCCATGGGCTGCAGGGGGACAGCCTGCTCCACCAGGGGCCTCTCCACAGGCCGCAGGGGAACTGCTGCTGCCTGCCTGGAGCACCTCCTGCCCTCCTGCTGCACTCACCTGGGGGGCTGCAGGGCTGCTTCTCTCACATTTTTTCACCCCTCTCTCCCAGCTGCTGTTGTGCAGCAGGCTTTTCCCTTCCTTAAATATGATCTCACAAAAGCACAATCAGCACTGCTCACTGCCTTGGCTCTGACCAGCGGCAGGTCCCTTTTGGAGCTGGCTGGAGCTAGCTCTTTTTAACACGGAGCAGCTGCTGGGCTCTACTAATAGAGGCCACCCCTGCAGCCTCCCACTTCCAAACCCTTCCAATATAAACCCAATACAGCGTCCTCTTTCTCATAGCATTTTGTTGAGATACAATTAAACTCATCTAACATTTACCTAAAGCGATTCAGCCCGAGCTCATGAAATTCCTCAGCAATAATGTGCTACTAGGGAAGACCAACTTTAGCCTTTGTTGCTTAGTGTAGGAGTTTGGTTTAAATCTCAATTAATTGGATCACATGAAAGTCAAGCTCTAATCTGAGACCTGCTTAAGCCCCCTGCATTTGTTGCTGAGCAGTGCCAAAGGGAGACTCATTACATCTTGAAGAGAGCAGCCAAAACAAGTGAAGTGAGTAGGTTCTTATCTCTTGGGGCTATACTGAGGCCACAGAAAACTGGATTAGAGGAGAAGGCTACCTCTTAGATAGCTGGAGATGGATGGATGCACTCCCATCAAGAAATAATACTGGCAATTAACACCTTGTAAGGATTTAAGAACAATTGTGTTCTCCTAGAAACAAGCATATGGTTGTCAAGAAACTTTCTGGGTTTCCTAAGTAGGTTAGAGCTTAATCTAGAGACTGCCCACCTCTTTGATTCGGCGTGGGAAAGGAAGCCTTTCCCATGCCATCAGGAGAGGTGACAAGGTGAGCCTCAAGCGGAGGAAGCCATGCAAACTGCTAACTACTTGATTTAGGCATTGGGACTACTTCTCCCCACTGACACCAAAAAAAAAAAAAGGGTCTTGCAACTCCAAATTGCTCTGTGTTTTCTTGAGTAGTAGGTAAATACCTGTATGAGGAGCACTGAATTGGGCCAGAGTTTCTCACAGAAACACAAAACAGCACCAATCTGACACAGTTTGACAGTGCACTGAGAAAGCTTTGGGATGGGAGTCCCAAAGGTGGGCTACTACCGGGACATGGTCTTGCCCATGCAGCTTTTATCCACATTACAGACTTTTCTACCTAAAACAGGTGAATGAGCCTGGAACATCAACGATGTTCAGTGGGGGCAAATCTGTGGTGTAAAAGCCATCAGGATCTCTCAGCTAGACTGACCTGTGGGAAAGATGCTAGCACTGTTCACAAGGCAAGAATGAAACACTGGAGCATGGGGATGCTTTCGTTTTCCAGTACTGCTCTGGAAATAATGCCCTTATGAGCTTGGAGTTATGTTTTGGAGCACAGTTATCTTACAAAATGTGACTGATTTATCTGCTGCAGATACTAAGGAGGTCAGACCAGCTACAGGGTAAGCTCATTTATATACGTTTTATGGAGGATTTTTATTTTTATATAGCTTTTGACCTCAAAGTCTAATGGAAATGTCAGTCCACATACACAATTCACTGTAATTTTAGGTCCAGCAAATTCAGACAAGTCAGACATTTCCATATCAGCTGCAAGACCTTTAGAAATACACACACACTAGCGGGTTCTCTGGTGCAGTGTGTACTGAAGATAAGCAATGGACAGATTACTTGTCAGCAACATTGGAGAGGCAATTCTACCAGCAATATTTTCCTTCTATTTGCCCAGTGTGAGGGATGAAGGATGAGCGTGCAGACACACGGAGGAGGAGAAACCTGGGGAAGTGCATGGACTGGAATCAGGATATGGAATTTTTCATCTTTTCTGTGTGAGCTCGGAGAAACCAGTTAGTCCCTGGAAGGAAATCAGATTCCACCAAGTAACGAAAGCCTCTGACTTTCACCCAAATGCTTTCACAGGCATTTAGCCTTCCCCTGGCACAGAGGGTGTTCTGCACCCTGTGAACTGACCTCAGCATTCAACTGTTCTGCAGATGTAAAACTGAGCTCCACACTGCGACATCCCTGCAGAAGAAGCAGAGCATTAAGAGCCAGACTGTACCCTGTATAGAAAACAAGTTTTCTGGGTTTCTGTGCTACTTTTTAAAAGGATGTTCTGTATTGAGCAATGTCCTGAAGTCACAGTTCCTTCTTACAGCTGCACTCTCCTGTCATCTACCAGCTGTCAGTGATCTGCCCGCTGTTTTCAGAGGAACGAGACCATGTGCCTGGAGCCACAGCAGTTCCCTGCAGCAAACTGGGTGGCTAGCTTCAAAACAGCTACACAATTAGCAGGCAGCTTACTACTGCCACACGCACACACACACACAAATAAATCAGAGGCTGTTTAAGAGGAGACAATTTTCCTCCCAGGGCATCATTGCACCCAACAAACTACCTTTAATGAGGTAACAAAGCCCTGGAGATTCGCATTCCAGAGAGGTAAACCATCTCAGACAATGTGAATTCCTAAAATATTTCAGCAGGTCCTAAAGGCAGGGCAGGGCTCTAGCTCTGAATACTGTGCATGTTTTCCTGGCTACGTTACAATTTGGGGAATTAAACAAGTGGGCAGCAATGTAGAGAATGAAAAGCTTCCAGTGCAACATGCTGGGAGCAGCGGCTCTCCCTGGGGATGCCACACAAGTCTCATGCCTCTGGTGGGGTTTGGTCCCCTTGCGATGAGGCTGAGTGAAGATAAAAAGATAAATTGAAGATAAAAATGCTCTGGCAAAGTGGTTGCTGCGACTCACTGAATGGTAAAGCAGTGCAGTTGAAAAGGAATCTAATCCTTGCTTGAGGTTTGTGCTACGATTTATGAATGATAATAAAAATGAGGCTTCATTCCACAAGCATCAGACCCACCTCGATTTGTTAGAAGCACAACAAAGGCTTTTTCTCCTCCTCCTCCTCACTCATTCTGGTTTATGACTTACCTTTCTCATGTAATTGGGCTTTGCAAAGACTGACTGGCCCTGACTAAGGGACAGGCTGGCCAGATTAAGTGTCCTTCTGAGATCTTCATTGCAAACTGAATCCCTTCCTAGCACAGTGAGAATATAAACAGATTCATTATGTTGTCTCCACCACAGGCAAATCACCCTTTTCAGAAAGAAAGGGGAAAAGTGCTGCCTGAAACATGAGCTGGTTCGAGATGGAAGGCCACGAGGAGGTCTCCAACCCAACCCTCTGCTCAGAGCAGGGCAGCACTTGGCTTGGAGCTGGCTGCTCAAGGCTTTGTCTGGTCATGAGGACAGAGACTGCACAGCCTCTCACAGATACACCTCATCTATGGCAGAAAACATGTTGCGACCACTTTTCCGGCCTCAAGCTGAGGGACCTCACTTAAGGTTGCCGCTGGCGCGGTGCTGCAGTGTGACACCTGCTAACACTGCTGAAAATGTGTCCTGAGCAAGTCAGAATATCTTTTCTTCCTGATAAATAACCCATTTGATGAACTGAAGCTTACATCATCTCACTGGTGCTTGACTAACCTTACAATAATAGCACATTGTCCCCACGTACTACATCATCTGAGAAGCAACCTCTTCAGGCTCAGTTGCATCAGGACCAAGACACCCAACTGATGGAGCTGATGGCCAAGCCACAAGGCCAGCATCTCCAGAAGATTATTGTCAGCAGAGAGCTGTTTCCATCCAATCTGAGAACCTTCCAGTCAATTGATAGTTGTTCATCCTATTTTAAGCTTCATTTAACAAGGACCTGGCTTAATCGGTAGACTCCCCAAATAGATGTCTATCTGCGTGTTCATATCTCTTTCTATTTGTGTTGTGCACAGGGGTGCATATGCAGCAGACTTTTCCTGTACTTTTCAATACTCCTGCAACCAAAATGCTTGCCTTACATAATGCTTGCCTCATTTGTAGATGTCTGCTGAAATTTGTTAGGAACAGCATTTTATTTTTTTTTTTAATGTAACTGAGATAATAAGCCAGTTTATCACTTTTAAATTTAATAGATGTCAGGAAAATGATCACTTGGTCATTAAATTTTCTGTACAAGTAGATTTCATCTAAGGAGAAAAGCTGCAATGGAAAAATCAGATTATGGCTCGAGAGGAAAGGTAAGTCACCTTTCTTTATGTATCAGAGTGTCCTGACCTCTAATTTTTCATCCCTTCCAGTCCACTAAAGGGCTATACTTTGACTACTTGATTCAAAACCTAACATGAACAGGGCCTCTGGTACAGAACAAGATCCAGATACAGACAGGGTTAGCAGCGTAGCTGTACCTGGGAACTCAGCTCACTTCTGCAAGGCACTGTTTTATTCCCTTTTCCCTCCAGCATTAGAAACAACTTTGCTTTGCTTTTCAAAGCAACAGAGTAAGCTGTTTCTGAGTAGCCCTTCCTCCCTCCTGAGAGCCTGTAAAAAACATATACTTTGTGCAAGTCTGAGTCAAGACTAGTGATTATTTCATTGTTCTCCCTTTCTCCCACTCCTGCTCAGCCTTTACACCTCTCTTCTTCCTTTGCCTGCCTTACGTTTTTCTTCTCCTACTCCTTCTTCGCCCAGCTCCACCTCCCTCCCTTTCTGCTTTCTGGCAGACGTCTGCATTGCAGCCCTGTCTGGACCTTCAGCTGTCAAGACTTCCAATTTAACTCCATATTTCATAATGAATGGAGATTTGTTCACTGAGTATAATTGCCAATACCCTCTCACCGCTTTTCTGCCCTTTCTGCCCTTCCTCACCAGCAGCCTCCTCACACGAGACCAGAGCTTCAATGGGATGGTTTCTCTGGGTTGCTGCCATCTACAGCAGGGACTCATGAGCTGATGGACAACATCCCAATAATGAACCATGTGGAATAACAAGTGCCAATGTTATGAGCCACCAGCCTCATGTGGCTTACCTTGATTCACAAGTCTTCTACAAATAGTTAAAAGACTTGTAACAGCAATGAACTACATGTATGTGCTGTCTCACCCATTTGTTATCCAGCCTCCCTGATCATGGCTTCTGGTGTGAAGACAAAGCCCTGGCATGGAAATGATGTTTTATGAAGCTGACCTAGTTACAAATCAGCAAGCTGGTAAAGCCTGCCACAAGGTTAAAAAAAAAAAAAAAAAAAAAAACACAAATAAACTCAATGTGCAGCTCCATCCAATCCCCGGCTTAAAAGACCTCAAAAGATCACATTCAGATGGCAATTTAAATATGATTTATGGCCTTCAGCTTTGTTCCTGGGGCACTGAGGTTTATGAAGGTTAGTTAGCATGCTCAAAATTACTTCAAAATTACTCTAAGTACCTCTGAGCTTCCTCTGCATGGTTAGGCATAAAAGTAGCATGGGGTGGGAAATGATTAGCAAAAGGGAAATAGCTTTTCAAGTGAATATAATGCTGAACAGAGGAAGGACTGAAGGAAAATGTGTATATCCTCGTAAGGGGGTGTCGAGAGGCAGGAGACCTTTTCTCCATTAACACCAGCGACAGGACCCGCGGGAACGGGGTTAAGCTGAGGCAGGGGAAGTTTAGGCTTGATATCAGGAGGAAGTTCTTCACAGAGAGAGTGGTTGCACACTGGAACAGGCTCCCCAGGGAAGTGGTCACTGCACCGAGCCTGTCTGAATTTAAGAAGAGATTGGACTGTGCACTTAGTCACATGGTCTGAACTTTTGGGTAGACCTGTGCGGTGTCAAGAGTTGGACTTGATGATCCTTAAGGGTCCCTTCCAACTCAGGATATTCTATGATTCTATGATTCTATGATCATTTATGTTGGTCCTTCATGCCTACTAGCAGAGAGGTATCTCATGGGACCGCAAACTCTCTGGGACAAGGACTGTGTCCTAGATCTACAAATACAAGAGATGGTGTCCAGGGTCCTTGCTATGGGCTCTGCTTCACATCACAGAGCCAGATGTGGGGTGGCCCAGCACACCCAGTCCCCAGTTCACCTGGGGCTTTGGTGAGAGACCTCCAATGTTTTATTTTCAAGGGCAAACATCCCTTTTTCTCTCCCTCTATGGTAAAGCTTTGCTGCTGTTCCAAAATACATAAGCAGACCTAGTCAAGCATAAATGGAAAGACTGATAACCCTTCTTCTCTATTTATAACCTCTTCATTAGGAGGTGTCAAAATGTTCTGTAAATGTACCCTGTCCTCTCCAGACGACACTCTGCACACTGAGCAGGGTGCAGCAATGTGTGGGGACTCATCTGGAGGCTGCAGAGGTTGACGACCACACGCTGCCTTGAAGAGATGCCCCAGATATACAGGGCTTGTCAGCTTGTTTGACAGCTCTTGAGCCATGTTGGTGCTGGGGCTGCTGCCCTGGGACATGGCAGGGGCAGGGGGGTGCTTTGCAAGTAGAGGTGAAGCACCCAGATCCTCACTGCAGATCTGATGGTTGAACCACTAAATAGTATTTTTCCTCATGGTTCACAAAGAGAAACCAGGCTGAGTTGCTCTGCACATGTACCTTGGATTCTGGGTGTCTTTGGGCAGCTACAGAACTGCTTGAATCCACCGGGCAGCTGAATTCCCTGCTGGAATCCACTGTTCGAGCCCTATAGTATTAGCTGTCTCTTCACAGCCTTGTACAGCCCCCATACAACCGACCTTTCTGAACTTTTCATCACTGCTTCTCTCAAACTTTCATCCTCTGTTTTAATATTTGCCCTCGGTGAGGTCCCATTCTCGCATTCCCCTGCTACCACGTGCCAGCCTGGAAGAACAAGCCCTGAGTTAACACAGAGGAGGTGAAGTAAGATCAAGCCACGGATATTGCCACAAGAATTGCTCTAGGCCAGAGTTCAGATGAAGCGAGCAAGTGGTTTTGAAATCTTTGTGCATTTCTTTTATGCCCTGTGTCACTCAGGACTCAATTGTGCTGAGCGAGCAGCCTAGCAATGCTGAAGTCGGGTAACATCACCCCCTGCCCTGCTCCTGCCCATCTTTTCCCCCTAACCTATTGCAGAGATGACAGAAAATAAAGACCTCACGTAATACAGCACCCTGCTAAGTTCACATTCCCGCTATACCAGGTATTTTGCAAATCCACCGAAGAGCTTCCATTGTCCCAAAAGCTCACTGAAATTAACTGGCTGCTCAGTATTTATACATCCATGATCCTGCAGAAAACGGTAGAATTAGCAACAGTTTGGGTCTCTTGTCTTTCCTGTGTCCTCAGGCCTCTGAAAGTCCCACCCACAGTGGTGGGATTGTGTCTACAGCTCTTACCTAACACGCACCAGCAAGAGCTTCCTCGGGAAATACGTCTTCCTCCCTGCCGACAGACTGTCGCTATGTATAATTCTGCTGTTATCTGTGAGGGAGGCAGAGTGAAAATCAGTCAACAGCAACATCATAACAGAATGCAAAAATATGTTTCAAAAGCTATTTTCCAGGGCTTTTGGGGGAGAGCATTTTGTTTATATAATGATATTTTCAGATTAGTGGATAATTAATAAAAGCTGACTACAAAAGAAATCATTTTGAAGATGGACTAGCTTTCAAGACTGATTAAAAAATGTGTTCAGGTTTCACCTTCAAGGAAATCCAAATATTTGACCAAAGGGAAAGCAGAGAAAACCAGCAAGGCTCAGTGGTCAGCCGAGAAGAAACGAGGGCAATGAGGGCAATTAAAGAGGCACAAGCTGCTGCAGTCTTCGTTGTGTCGCAAGTACCCACAGAGAGCAAGATCCTGGGCCACTGCCTTCACTGGCACCTCAGGAAAGAAGAACAAATGATGGAAATTTATGGATGCAGCTGCACTTCCATCAATACCTCTGCTTGTAATAAACGTAGAAGACTTGCAAGGTGCTTTGCAAAATCTCCCCATAAATTCCCCAGCACAGCACAACCTGACAAAAGGCTGTGAAGCAAGCTTTGCTGCAGAGCTCTGTGTATGGCTTTAAATTGGAAAGAAAAATTATTCATAGGGGGCAGATGTATGGTCTAGGGCTTTTCTTTAGCTGAACAATGGAATAAAATAACTCCTTCACAATAAACAACACCTAGTGCGGCAATGAAGCCGGCCTGATTTTCATTTATTGATAAAGCTCTGCCCATTTTCTTTCCCTCCACTGCAAAGAACTTGCAGGATCTCTCTGTCTATGGCTAATTCTAATTCCCCAAGAACATGACTGTCTTCTAAAAAGTAAAACAGTGCTGAGAAATGTGTGCTTGCGATTCATAGCGTGTGTCAGATTAGGGGAAAAGTGCACTGCAGCTTTCTATCATTTGTCTGAGATGATGGATGTTTACCCACCTTTCCACACCACTTTCCACATTTTATGGGCCGAGCACTTACAGCTCCCATCAAATTAGTGAGAGTTATCGGTGCCCTTCACAAATGAAATAAATCAGTTCATTAAAGAAAACTCATTCAATTCGAGAACACTGTGGCAGCACAGGCCACCCATCAGCTCCACTTGATGATGAATCTCTTGCTCAAAAGGAAGCTTTTTGGGTATAGCATCAAGAAAGCAAGGACTTGAAACCTTCTCTGATAATGTGAGCCTGACATTGTACTGTGGCAGAGCTGGATCACAGGAAACCAACACCTTTTGCCAGCCTGACCTAGAAGGATGATGTTTTCCTCTCCATGGAGAGAGGCAAATGGATGATAATCACTGCGGATGAAGAGACCTGCAGGAGGAATACAGCAAGAAAGGTATAAGGACTTAGAAGCAAAGCTGTTATTTATTAAGCCAAGATGAAACAATCCTTCCTCCAATTTGCTCGTGGTTTCAGTGGTGTCACAAGCAGAGACTTAGCAAAATCAGTTCTGCAAGCAAGCCCACAACATGTGCATTTATTTTTGAAGGGCTGCTCAATGCTAATAAGACACGGGCACTATTTAATACCTTTATTTGTTTAATGTTTCCCGGTTATTGAAACTCCCCCTACAAGAGCAGTTTAGGAGCCCTGAATAAAGCACCAAGGGTTGCATATGAATACTGCTGCCTGTCTGGAGCATTATTCCAATGGTATTTTAGCGTGGTGCATCCGTGGCTTGAATAGATCACTGCTTTTATTGGAGAAACGCTGAGCTGTTTCAATTACAGGTCTTTATGGAGTACACCCTTGGGGCTCATGGTGACTGTCTGGAAAATCAGTCACTTTATGGCTTCTTCATCTCACCGCAAACTGCTCCGGACTGTGTCCACCGGCAGAGTCCAACACTCCTCGGGAGGCCTGTAGAAAGACAAAAAATCCTAGGTACAATCGCAGCATTTCACACGCTAACACATTGGTTTTGATGACTTTCTGACATGAAAATCTTCAGATCAGCTCTCATCGGGTTTAGCTGTGTAGGTTTAGGCTGACGGTTGCCAGGGCTGTTGTATAACTTTAGTTTTCTCAGTTCCTGGATCACTGTGAGATATACAGCCCCTGCTCATCCAAAGTTACCCTGCGGAGGTAGGGACTGCGGGTTGTCCTGTTGGAAGCTGCACTCCTGGCAGTGTTGGGGCCTGAGAAAGTCCTCATGTGTCCAGAGGAGTGCTGAGAGCACTCTAGGCTTCGACTGGCCCATGCTGAATGGGGACTGAAGCAAGGGGATATATTTAACCCATGTGATGTTGGAGAACGTGGCGTTCAACCCACAGGAGGAACAGAGGAGGAGGTGAGCACCATCTGCTGAAATCTGCAGCCAAGAGCCTTAGGGGGAGTAAGCAGAGATGTTTAAACAGCTCTGGGGGAACAAGGGAAGTCACCACAGGCTGAAAGATTGCCAAAGCTCCCACAAGAAGAAGGTGGCTACCCCAGATCACTAAAATAACCATTTAATTTAGAGTCTCTGTCAGCATATCCTAAGGGGCCACACTGTAATGCCACAGGGGTTTGTGAAAGGAAGGTTTTGACGTTTTCCCTGCAAGATTACAGATTCTGGTAAAGTGGCATAATATATTCTGGACTTGGCTGAGACACGTGACTGTTGCGGGGTATGTTGATTAATCAGTATGAATGAGAGATGTAGGCACTAGGATAAGTGTTGGATGGATTAGTGGCTGGCTCACTGATGGGTCTTCAAGTGTGCCCAGGTGCAGACATAGCCAGAGGGGACCTGTTGAGTGCAGGCTCCTGCAGAGATCAGACTTTGACTCAGTACTAAGTAAATGCTTTGACTATGACACAGGGTTTTTGGTGGTAAAATACACAGAAAATGAATACGACAAAGTAGAAAATGAGTAGGAGAGCAGGTTACCTTTGCAAAAAGTCATCTGGATTGCTTGGTAAAATGGCCATGATCCAAAAGGACATGTTTTAATACAGGAAATTATAATAAAGTAGGGCAGATGGATCACGATGTAACAACTGCACGAGCCTCTCTACAGCCTATGAAGGGAGCCAGAGCCACTGTCTCACATGCAGCCATCAGACAGATGGAATTTGGGATCTTGGACAATGCTTGTACCATGCCACTCTGCCTAGCTCATTATCTGCTGCACCTTCTCCCATGTGCAATGCAGAGTGAGGTTCAAGGTTGATTCCAACTCCTTGAGCAGCAAGAAGCCATTGTCTTAAACACCTTGGTCTTGCAAACATTTAAGCACCTGCTCTTGCATGGTAACACCACTATTCTGCAAACACCACGCTATATCACACACCCGTAAGGCAACACAGAGCACTTGGCAGTTTTGGCTTTCACTCACACTCCCTAGTGGTCCCCAGGCTCATTTCCCCATATGTTACCGAGAAGAAAGGCAGTCTGGTGTCTAAGTATGTCAGTTTGGGAGTCAGAAACCATTTATTTTGACATGTTTTTATGTCATTCTGCAGAGAGGCATTGCTTTTTGCGTGCCAGCCTCCTGGCTGCATCCACCGTGAGCCTGCAGCCCTGGTCTGGTTGGGACATTAGGGCTCTGCAGGGCCTTGCTGCCCACCGTGGGTGAGGTGAGGTAGGCAAGGATAGTGCAGGCTGAGCTGAGCCTGGCCTTTGGGGAGGTTTTGTGGCTGTCCTCATCTTCCCACTCTTCTCTATGAGGTAAAATAGTGGACAGCTAATGAATTTTGGTTTCAGCCTGACTCCAGTCCATGCCTGAACAGCAGCAGATACCCACCTCCAACCTGCACACACAGTGCCTGAGGTGAGGCCGCACAGCTCAGAGCAGAGCAGGACAATCCCTGCCCTCACCCGGCTGGCAGTGCTGGGCCTGAGGCACCCAGGGTAGGGTTGGCCCTTAGGGCTGCCAGGGCACACTGCTGGCTCATCTGCAACGTGCCATGGACCAAAACCCCCAGATCCCTTTCTGAGGGGCTGTTCTCCAGCCCCTTGTCCCTCAGTCTGTACGTACAGCCAGGGCTGCCCTAACCCAGGTGCAGGACCCAGCACTTGCTCTTGTTAAACTTCATATGGCTGGTGATTGCCCAGCTCTCAGATCTGTCACGATCTCTCTACAAGGCCTCTCTACCCTCAATGGAGTCAACAGCTCCACCCAGTTTAGATTCATCAACTAACTTACTTATTACACCTTCAAATCCTGCATCCAAGTCATTTATGAAAACATTAAAGAGAAAATAAGAACCACACTCCATCTGACCTATTGTTTTTTAACAAAGAACACAGGCTTTTGACCTTTATTGCTCATAATTTGAGCCAAACACAAGCTGAACAAGAAAGGCAACCTCTGCTTACCAGAGATGTTCCCAAAGCACAAAATTAAGTTTTCTACATAAGAATGCCTATCCTTTATTAATACTTTGCCATTAGCAAAATAATTTCTGCCAACATAATTGGTTTTACTCAGAATTTTCTACATAGTGCAAATAAACAGTGTGCTAATTGCTTGCTGCTTCCATTAGCATTTAATTTCATGGACTAATCAGAAGTACCTATATTCAAGAAGAAAGCTTGAATATGTAAAAATCAGTTTGCTGAAATCTCACCCGTTCTAAAAACATCTTCCTTATCTCTATTTTTTGAGCCAAACCCTTTTGCCTGCATGCCCTCCCATCTTGGTTACAAACTCAGAGAAATCTTGTGCTTCCAGCCTCTCCTCCTGCCCTGGAGGATTAAAAAAAATAATAAAAAATAAAAAGAATAGCTCAACTTTATGTCTTAGCTCAAGAAAATGAATCAAGTGGAAATGAATACAAATTTGGCTGTTATGATGTATTGCTGAAAAACTGGAACTTGAAGTTGAAATTTAGGGTTTTTCCTCATTTAGCACAAGAAATACTTTCTGCACAGATTTTAGGATACATTTCTACAGATATTAATGCTTAACACAATCCCTCGAGGAAAAAAAAATGTATCTGGTTTTACAATTGAATAAAAAGTATAGAGAGACAGAAAGAGGACTGCTGATTTGCTATAAATACTGGGCACATTTTTCCCCTCTCAGGAGAAGCAGTCAGTGTGTATTTTTCATATTCAAAAGATCCATGGCAGACCTGTTGCAAATTAGTATTTGTATGCAAGCGAGCAGCTGTCACCTTGCTTTAAGGAATTTGACTACTTCAGTGTTCGAAGACAAGAAGGAATATGTCAGATATGAAAGATCACTCTTTCCTGAAGCTGTTTTGAAAACAGGAGCCTTCACCGCTGACTCAAAGCGAGTTACATACAATTGTATGGTAGCAAAGACCAGAAATCTTGTTTTTTCTAACAAGCTGGCTTTGTATCTTCCCTATTGCTCACTTAAAGCCCAAACAGAAACACACCACTCTCAGTGAAAGCATTTCTAGTGATGTGTTGAGCTTTGAAGCAAGTATACAGAACAAATTACACCTTTTGGGATCTTATGGAGCTGTTTTTAAGCAGGAGAAAATAGAGGATGGAGCTATACATGTGAGTGAAGTGTAGGCAGCAAAACATGGAGAAAGCTTTTTATCATTTTTTTATTATTATTTATAGAACCATGGTGTAAACAAGATCTTTTAGTTTAACTTGCAAGTGCTTTTTATGCCATACAGAGAGACTGAGCCTTACAAAGCCAAATCAGCTTTGCCAGCAAGCACGTGAACAACGTGTGTGTTACTGTGGTGGTGTTTAATGGTTGGGTGAATGCATGTAGGAGCTCCAAGAGCTCTCAGATGCTTTTGTTTGCTTAATGCCTTCTGCTGAGGGCAACTCCTCTGTTACCACTCTGGCAGGTTATGGGTCAGCCATTCCCCACCCTGGTGATTCTGGCACAGCAGCTTGCAAAAAAACAGCACCAGGACTCACTCCTCACTTCCCAGAGGCAAGGTGAGGCACCCTGCCCTGATCCATATGAGCACATTGAGAAACCTGAGTTCAGGCCAGAGGTGCCCGAGTACAGCAACATTCTTTGGATACTTACACAAATAAAGTCGCTGAGACTTTCAAAAACACACAGAACTGGTTTGTGTAATCCTGCCCAGGAGTTTTCCTGCTGAGTTCAAACAATTCAGAGCTAGCTCAATCCCAAATATAGCCTGAAATTCTGCTTCAGAGAGGTTCATTTCAACTCGATAAAATTGAATTACTTTTCTAATCTCTGCCAAGTTTTGTTCATCATCTTACAGATTGAGGAACTGATATTTGTGCAGCGTTCAGTAAATCAGAGCCCCAGAGTCGGGCAGGGAACATGCCACCACCATAAAATACAGCCAGGAGGACGGGTAACCATGGTAGGACTCGAGACATAATCAGTGCAAATCAATAGAAATACCCGATCGTAAAATCACTGTCACCTCTGAGATCGTGATAAACAGCAGGCCTTTCAAAGTAGAGCTGTGTTGCTGTGTTTACCCTTCTCACACTCAGACATTTGCTGCTTTTCAAACATTTAAGTTCATTTGTTCTCTAAATAGTGCATTCGACTCACCCCTGGACATAGTGATTTTATAAAGAGCATTTCTTTTATTATTTTTTTTTTTTGCCCTTTCCTCGCATGTACCAGCCCGTTACAGCAGAAAATAACAGTATAATCATCTGTTATTTTCTGCTCAGTTTTTTTTCATTGATAACTTGGCTGCTGCACAAACAAGAACCCCTTTTATTACTTCTAGGTAGGCTGATAAGAATTTTCCTGTTCCACTGTGTACTGCAAAGGCTTCAGTTTTATTGGTGTTTCGAGTCGATCTTGGAACACTGTAACAGCTACCAAGGTGAGGAGTTTTGGAGAACTGAGAATTTAATTTGTGGAATTCACTCTTTAGGTGTAAACTCTTCATGGTGCTCTTGCAGTACAAAAAGATGTTTAGGAACTGGAGTCAATATAGGAAGGCTGAAATCCTGATTTCTGTGGGGAAGGCAGAGGGGGATTTCATAGAGTCATAAAATAGCCCAGGTTGGAAGGGACCTCAAAGATCATCTGGTTCCACACCCCTACCGTGGGCAGGGACACCTCCCACCAGACCTGGCTGCTCAGGGCCACATCTGACCTCGCCTTGAGCACCTCCAGGGATGGGGCATCCACAACTTCTCTGGGCAGCCTGTGCCAGGGCCTCCCCATCCTCTGAGTGAAGAATTTCCTTCTAATCTCTAATCTAAGTCTCCCCTCTTAGTTTAAGTCATTTGGGCAGCCTGCTCCTTGATGGCAGCACCCATATGCCTTAGCTTGAGTCATCTCACATGAACCCAAAGGAGAAGCTGCATGTTGTCAAAATGCTCCAGAACTGCAGGTTTTACTCCTAATGATGGGGTTTAGGTTTCCCAGCACTGCCTGTGTGTTGCACTGGCATCTCCATCCTGCACAGGACCAGGGCAGGACCCCCAGCCACCCCCACGCACCTTGCAGTCAATATAAGCCATGGTCAAAGCTAAGGAGCACCTTTTTAAATAAAAAGTTGACAAAGCAAAAATACATCGATTTGTTTAAAGAAATCACAGCTATCAGGTGTTACACTCATAACTCCCTGCTTTCAGCCTGCTACTCTAATCAAGGTTTGTAAATTGTAATTCATTTTCTGCAGCTCCTTAATCATGAGTAACCACAAGTGAAAAAGAAAACAAAACACTTTTGGATGAGATAATGCGTATACACGTGGATACAAGGAAACGTACCTTTAAAAAATAATAAAAAAGGAATTTCGCTGCTGTTGGAGTGAGGCAGAGAGCAAGGCAGGACCCACGCCTGGGGTGCAGAGGGTTGGGAGTAGAGAGCTTTAGCAGCACGGCCTCCTTGGGAGGTATTGCAAACTGGTGAAGATGCCAGTGAAGGTGACAGAAGCTCACCTCCTTGGAGAGGCACTCACCCAACACAGGCCAAGTCAGCGAGTGCTGCTTCTGCCTGAAGCCAGCCTGCCAAAATTCATCAGTGGGCTCCTCCCATCATGGGAAGCAAGAAGAATTAGAGTCACAGCTGCGGGAGCTTTGCCGCATGCACACAGCTGCATTAGGACAAAATCCCTGGTGCCAACACAGGAGGAGACGTCATCCCTCAGAGATGCCAGCTCACCTTCCTGCCCCATGACTGCATCGTCTCCCTCCCTGTGTAACGCAGGCAGTGCGTGATAAAATGCTCTCAGCCTCAGGTGCACATCCCTTGGCACGTGTGAGGCTTCTCATCTGAATCCCCACTGACCTCCTGCAAAGGCTCGACAGAGACTGGCGGTTTTCCCAGGCATTTAATTCACTGCAGATTTTAACTAAGCATCTCAAAATAATAGCAAGAAGGAAAAAAAAAAAAAAACACTCGTGTTATAATTAGATACGCCAGAAATAACCTCCCCATTTTCCTGACACTGCTTACATTAGTATTCATTGGGCGTGAAACGCTGTGAATAAGCTAATGAAATGATTCATTTGTTCATTTGCCTATGCATGTTGATAACTATATGCCAAGAACCCAATGATTTGTTAACAGCCTCATTTATTTTAAGGAAGCTGCTGTCATTCATAAAGCATTGGCCAGCTGCCGTGCATCCCTTCACCTTTCCCTCTCGACTTCATAAATCTCTGATTAACCTCTCAAGCACCTTGGGCGTTTTGTGAGGAACACAGCAGTATCTGTTTGCAAACCACTTTGCTCACCTTGCAAAGGTTTCTCGGCCCCTGCCCCTCCCAAAGCCCATTGCACCCTGCTGATGCAGCTCATTACTTCCAGCCTGCAAGGACATTTCTCATCAGTGTGGTGCTTTGCCATTGCTCTGTGGAGGAGGAGAGGAAGCCTTAGCTCTCCTCTTTGCCAACCAGCAAGTATTAGTCATAAACCAGCTGATTTGCTTCTGCTCTCGGTGTGATTTTGAACCAGTTGGTTGTTAAAAGCTGTCATTACCGTCCATTACACACAAGGCTCATAGAAGAGCTGCCCCTCGGCTCCTGAATTGGGCAGGGAGGCCACCAGCAAGCGGTGACTGGCAGCCTTCTCATCCCCAAGTGCTGTCAGTGCTTACTTGGCCTCTCTGGATATTTCAGACAAGTGAGTTGGTGCTTTGGTCTCTTTTTATGTGGGGGCACTTGAGGTATCGAGCTGAAATAACCTGGTCAAAGTCACACACGAAGCCTGGAGCAGATCAAGAAATGGAGCATGTGTCTTGCATGTCCTAGCTTGTGCTCCAGGTCCATATGGCATGCTTCATCTGAAATATTACCAAACACAAGAGAGATATTGGGCTACCAAGAGGAGCTGAATGAATTATAAGGACTGGAAAATATAGAGCAAGGGTATAAGGGAGCTATAACGGTGGGAAAGCACGAGGCACTTGTAGGGTGCCACTCCAACAGCAGGTGGTTTGTTTAAATCCTATATTAGTGGTTTTTTGGAAGGAAGATAATGCTGGGCCTGGCTGTGCTCAGAAATGTTCTCAGAAACTTCCCTTGGTCTGGATGACCTGAGGAAGTCATTTCATTCTTCAGGTCTCCAGAGTGAGCTCCAGGACTTCTCCTGGCCCTTTCCTTGCAGAACCTCGGTGCTGGAGGCAACCCGTGCCTACAGTGGCTGCTGTGAGCCCTGGCATGGGAGGGCTTGGCAACGAGAAGCAGCCTCTGCTGATGGGACAGAGCCTTCCCTGTTGCTTTCCAGTCTCCTATCCAGATTGAAGTGACATGTTCAAGGACGCTGGTGCACTAAGTTGTACTGGAGTTGTGCAGTGAGGACTCTGATCCCACTGGCTCACAAATAAAAGACTGATGAATTGCACTGAGATGATCTTTACCCTGAACACCTCTCCTTCACACTGCACTAGAGCTGGCTTCTCTCTCCTACTGCTCCTGCAGCAGTCTCCTCAAGGACCTGCTGTGAAAAATGAGGATGGGGAGGTTGACTTGTTACCCATGCAATTCAAGTCAATAAAATATTGATACCAGCTACATAGCTGAAAGAGAAATCAGACTTCTGCAGGTTTCTTAAATTTAATAGAATTTAAATAATAACTGAATTCAGTTGAAGTGGGTAGCAGTAAAATCTTTTTATGCAGTGTTTCTAAATGAAATTTTGTTTCACTTTGATAGTAGCTAGATTTGTCTACAGGTTGAACTCTGGCTGTTCCAAAAGCTGAGCGAAAACCCAGCATAGCCTGGGCTCCATCATTAGAAGAGAAAAACAAGCTCCTGAAGGCAGATGCTGCCCTTGCTGTAGCAGGGACTCAAGTAGGTGCAATAGCTCACCCCTGCAAGATCAACCGCCCTCCACTGAATACAGGGGGGAAAAAAAACACCACCACATTTTTTTACTAACAACAAAATGAGCCTGGTAAACCTTAACAGAGCATCTTCTCTGAAAAAGCACAAAGCTCTGATAAAAGGTACATTGGCTCAGGCACTTATTATTGCTTTGTCTGCCTCTCTCTGCCCTGTAGCTTTCTGTTTGACAAATGTAGGAAGACAGTGTGGTTTCCACTGTAACATAATGGAAGCTGTAATTGAAAGGTGTCCACAGCTCATTAGAATGGTTTTTAAATGACAGGGAGTATTACTTTGCTGTCATTACTTCTCATTTAATGATGATTCATGCCCCAAAGAGATTCTGACTCTCTATGGTTAGCCTCAACCAACCAGATGACTTTTACTTAACAGTCTACAACATAAAAAAGCAAGTTTTAAGGGAATCATTTATTACAGGTGTAAAACAAGGACAAATAAATAATAATAATTAATTAAAAAAATAGATTACCCACTAGAAGGGTGATTTCTACAAATACAAATTATGCAGACTGAACTACCAAAGGCTAAAACAACCCAAATTTGACCATCCAGGATGACTTTTTCTGTAAAAACATCTACCATTCTTGCAGAGACAATAGCAAAGCCAACTCCTAATGACATTGTTACAGGGTCTGTTGAGAAGCTGTTAGTGGCAAAACTGAAAGTCAGTGCTGCAGTTTTTCATGAACACTATGGCAAGAGTTTAACCTCCATAAGAAGTCATCAGAATTTACTGAGTTTCCTACTTGAAAACACAGGTGCAAAAGGCCAAGACAACCAAGCTCTGAGACAGTAGAAGAAAATAAGTCCTCAAAGGATGCTAACCCCATAACTGCCTTTATATGACAAGGAACTCTCTCCCCATCACTTCATTTCACAGTATCTCTCCCCTCAGTCCATGTCACTGATGAGAGCACAAAGAGGTTTCTGTAAAGCTGGCATGGGGTTAGGATTAGCTCTTCTGCACTATCCCGTAAAAAGAAGAAAAATAAAAAAGGATGGGCATGGGCATTCGGGAGGATTCAGAACACGAAAACAAACTCCTTAAACAAGCTTGTTGTGTTTATACCATTTGTCCACAGAAAAAAAAAGATGCACTTAACCCTGACAAGTGAAATGCTGAAGATGCAGACTCCACCATCCACACATTCAAGCTGAAGCTGAGAACTTGAGGAGGTTTGTGGGTGTTTCCCCTTCCCAATCACTGCTTGCTGCTTAATAAAAATGTGTCATGACAATATGTTAAGATAGATTAAGAACTTAGTATTTTGAGAAGCTGTCCAGGGAACCTATCAATCAAACTTTCTTTTGCAGCACTGAAACAATCAAATCTAATGTTTGCTCATTATTTTTAATGACATGATAGTAGTCATGAGCAAATTTTAATGAGCAAAAATAATTGATATTTAATCTGAAATAGGTTGGAAAGAGAGATAAGTCTGAGTATTTAATAAGAATTCTTATCTGTATGGATAACCATGGGAAAGCCAGATCAGAAGGGATTAGCTATATCCATGTTTAACTTGAAAATGTAATTTGTGAGAGAGCTTCTGAGTTTAACCTAAAGACCTAAAACCATTTTTGTGTTTTGCTATTTACTAGCCAGTTTAGGCCCACATGACAAAGCTTATCAGTCAAACTCAAAATTAAACACAGAAATGGATTTTGGCTTTTTGGAATGGTTTTCAGGTGCAAAGCATTTACTTGAATTCACAACTGAGGTTTTGAATCAATGCAGTAAAGGGCATTTATGCTCACCTGCATTAGAAAGAAAATAAAATAACTGCTTTTTTTTTGAAAAACTCTTCCTAAAATGGATGAGGTCCTGTGGGGTGAGAAGCTATTGAAAAGCTGAGCAATGAGATTTGCGCTTCATGTGGACGTCTCAGAGCTGAGCAACAAGCCAACTGGTCTGGAATGACGGATGTTGGCAGAGACATCTGAAATCCATTTAAAAAGTACAGTATAGTATATAATGCAAGCTCTATAACCACAGCACCTTCTCGGAGTGAGAAAGGCCAATTACCAGCTCTGGTCTCAGCTACACTGCATGCGCCACGGAAATCTCAGGGCTTCTGCAAGCACAGCAGTTTTCCTGTGCAATGCTCCTTACTGACCAGGAACCTGACAGTGCAGGTCTGGAAAGGTCTCAGATGAAATCCCAAATCAACCGAAGATAATCGGAGTTTTGCTGCAGTGAGCCCTGGATGGCAACCATTAACTTCAGGGCAGGCTTCACCCTGGGATGGGCAACCTGTACATCTAGAGGGCTGCAGGGGATATTGCTGTATCACAAGGAGAAAAATAATAAGCAACTATAGGGCATTTTTTCCCTTGTTCAAATGAATTATTAATGTATTTTATCTTCTGCAAATTACATTTTCTCACCCAGCAGTGGTTTGCCTTGACGACAACACTTATCTCTGACCACCTCACCTGCACCCTTCCCACTAGCTCCACTCCTAAGATCAACCAACAGTTTGCACACTCATGCCACTGAAGATTGGGGTATTTTTTAAATCATCCAGCAGCTCAAATAGCAACAAGCCGGGCCCAAAGTTGTGTATTTATGCAGTTGGAAAGCATGCCAAGACTTCTGAGAAAGCAGACAAACATTTTAACCTGTTTTCATGATTTATTTTGTCTTTTACTAAATGCCGTGTGCATAACGAGCCAATTATCTTCTCCCTTTATAAGAAAATCCTTACAACTACATAGGGAGAAACACAAAAGCCCTCCTGAAATACGTTTTAGGAAATTACCTATGAAGTTGGATGTTTTCCTGGCAAAAGCCACTGTACGTTTTACGTTAATTGCTCAGTATTTATGCCAAATGAAGATCACTCCTTAAGGCAAGCTTCAAAAATTCAGTAACCCTAGAAATAACACACAAAATCTCTCTCTTCCCCAAAGGCATTGAGTTTCTCTTTAAAATTCCACAAATCTCAATTGCAGGGTAAATCATTCGCAGTCTTTATCAAACACCAGATTTATTGTACTATCTCTAGAAACAAGAGCTTCTTACTGCTGGAGAGACTCAACTTCCAGCCCAGCTCTCACCACTGGCAGCAATTCCCAGTCTCCTGATGATGGGCAGTGAGCGATGCACAAACCACAGGCACCAGCTCCTGCTCGCAGCCTGCCTGCACACACACAGAGCTGAACATCTTCCCTGCGAGCAGCTGCTGCTCTGCAAGTCCTCTGCTGCCAGCACCGCTCTGCAGCAGCACCTACATCAGCTCCATTCACAGCACCCACCAGGCCAAGATGTGCTCTTTGCCCAGGATGACAAGAACAAGGAGGGAGCAGGGTTTCTGAGATGGTTTTGGTGTCTCAGCCTTCTCAGGAGGAGAGGACTGAGACTCTTTCCTCTCCACAAACGCACAGTGCAGCCGGAGCTGGGTGGTCTTGCTGCCATCCGCTACCAGCTCCTGCCCCATGACAGCCAGGCTCCCTCCCCTGAGCTGCTGGGAACGGGGAAAGCAGCTGCAACACACATTCATGCAATCATTTATCAAGAAAAACCACCGATGCCTCTTTACATGCATATATTTATGAATTAAATATTGTTTTCCCCTACCAAGCCTGCAGAGAAACAGTTGCAACAGCTGCCTTACCCTGGCTTTGGAGCCTGTGGTATAGGAAAAAAATAAAAATCTAAGTTAATGCAGTGACTTGGTGGAATTGGGTTTTCAACACTTGTTCGGCAAGCCCTGAATAATTCAGCATTATCTTCACTTCCTCTGTATAATGTGCTCAGCCTTGAACTTGTGCCAGCAAAAACTTATATCGCATCGCTGTGAGTTTCCTGCCACACGCAGCAGTAGCAGTGATGCCCACAGACAGGAGGCTGATGGCTTGGGGGTAGGAAATTGCTCCGTGTACACTCCCATTTAGGCATACCCCGCATGCTGTTGTTTAAAGACTCCCACACATGACCCATTTGATTACAGTTTTCCAAACGCAGGGTTGGCTGTTAGCTTGATTGCCCGTAAGAGAAGGAAACCAAGATTTTGTCTCTGATCACCCTTTTTTATCAGTCTCCCTAGAGACTCCTGAAACTACCAGCTATTATTAACCACATTTAAAATGGGGACAGGACTTGATACTGTGTGCCTGCAAGCTTTGTAGGAATGGGGTAAAGGAGATACACCTAAATCAGAGGCCCAGCTGAAGAAAAGACTGGCAGGAGCTCTCCAGGTCCCTATTCTCTTCAGCCAGTTTATTCTGGTTTTGTGGAAACTCAGAATCACAGAATGGCTTGGGTGGGAAGGGACCTTAAAGGCCACCCAGTACTGAGGATTGGGCCCAGGTGAACCTAATGAGGTTCAACAAGGCCGTGTGCAAGGTGCTGCACCTGGGCTGGGGCAATCCCAGACATGAACACAGACTGGGAGAACCCACTGAGAGCAGCCCTACAGAGAAGGACTTGGGATTTCTGGTGGACAAAAGGCTTGACACGAGCAAGCAGTGCGTGCTTGCAGCCCAGGATGCCAACTGT